CCAAATTTCAAATATGGTGTTCATCTCAAAGTATCTTAATTAATGAAAGAAAATATAATTATAAAAACCCAAATGTTTAGAGTCTTCTTGTATATTAAAGTTAAATGCTATTTTGATTTAAACTGATTCTATTTCTAAAATATAGTCACAGTTATTAGTTTTGTTTTAAGTTTTTTCTGTTGTTGTTATTAATAGGCTATTTTTCAGAGACCTTTTAAGTTCACAGTAAAACTGAGCAAAAAGTGCAGAGTACTCTATATAGCTTGTGTGTGTGTTTTAACACTTTAGCTAGATGAACTGCCTAGATGAAGTAAGGTTAAGTATAATGTAAAGTATGTTAACATCCAGGGCCCTTGGCAAAAATGGAACTCTATCCCCTAGATTATTCAGCATTCTACCACTACCACGTGTCTAGAATTAAGAGAGAGTACTGAACCTACCTTACTTAGCAGCTTGAGAGGCTTAAAAAGAAACTAGGTGCCAAAAGAGAGGAGAATTAGTCCTCTGAACGCAATTCTGGGTTTGACAATCACGTTCTTGTTGATTTTCTTTTAACTCTGGATTTACTTGATAGCTCCACAAATTAGCTTAGATGAAGACATGATGAATAAAATATTTACACAATGTCAAATTCACTGAATGTACATGCATGTAAAAACATACACTTCAATAAACATGTGAAAAGATACTCGACTAGTACTAATCAAAGAAATGCAAATTAAAGAATGAGAAAATATTTCATACCCATCAGATTGGCAAAAGTTTTAAGTCTCCTAATAACAAATTGAAAAGAAATGGAGAAACAGGCTCCTAAATGTAGATGACGGGATGGATGGATGAAAACTAGAACCACCACTAGTTGTAGGTTGGCCAGAAAGTCTGTATGTTTTTTTCCGTAAAATAAAAGAAACATTTTTCACTTTTACCAATAACTTTATTGATTTGGATATTGAGTATGTCAGCTATCTCCCATGTGGTAGGACATTGATTGTCTTAATTAATGCCTTGATTTTACTGCTATCAGCTTCAACCATGGAACATCATCCAGTGAGAAATGTCTAGCACGAAACTTCTTAAACCACTTTTAACATGTTCAGTCAGTCACAACACCTTCTCTATACATTGCACACATCTTTATTTGCATTTCAGTTGCAACGTGTATTTATTTGTATTTGTATTTTTTCCTTTCTTGAGATAAAAAAGCATAATATGCTGAAAATGTTGCATATTTTCTTCCATCTTCAATATTAAAATGGGTGCACAGAAATTCACCAATTTTGATTACGTTTTTTTAAAATGCATGCTGATATGCCCATTGTCAAAACACAATCGAACAAAATTGTTTCGAATGAAGTTAAAGACAACTAAGTGCTACTAGAACCATCTTATGAAAAAAAAACAAACGAACTTTTTGGCCAACCCAATAAAATAAAAAATACATATGCATGGTCTCCAAACCAGGACTTCCATTTCTAGATATACACTAAGAAGACACTCACTAGGGCTAGAAAAAGCAATATATAGTAATATATAAAAATGCGTTTATTACTATTACATATACAAGTATACACATGTGTAATAGAAACCATCTATTGCAAAACAGCTTAAGTAGACAAAAAAAAGATAAAAGGGCAAAAAGTTGGGCAGACTTTTTTTAGGGGAATGAATAAACTTAATATAGTCATTAAATGGAAAGTATTCAGCAGTTAAAATAAGCAGAGTAACAACTAAAACTAAAAATCACCCCCTCAAAACCCACCAAGTTGCAAAAAGATACACAAAGCATAACATTCATATAAAATTTAAAAATACATCAAGGCAATAGAGTATATATTACTGCAGATGCATATATGCACAGATAAAAGTATGAAAATATCAGTGAGAATGAAATACACTAATTTCAGGTGAGCATGCTGAATTTTATCTGAGCCCTGTGCTCCTGGAAAGCAGTGCCAGTTCAGAAATCCAAACCCCCCTCCCCCTTAATTTTGTGTTCTGCAGAACAGGTAACAAAAGGATTCTGCCCTGGCTCATTAGGAGATAAAAACCCATTCCTGTGTATCCTTAAGACTCCCTGGCTTACCTGCCCCATGTCCCCGTCCTTTTTTTTCTTTCTTTCTTTTTTTTCATATGTTCCTCATTAATTGATGCTTTCTCAACTGCAATAGCCTAAAAAAAATCATTTCCTTAATTGGCTGGTACATTATGTCTTTGAACTGGAGTGGCTGGCCATCTCCGGGGAGGGAAGTGACTGGGATAAGGAAGTTGCATACTTAGATGTAATGGTAACATAACCTGAAATATGGCAAAAAGTTAACCTTTTTTTGTGCAAAGGAACCTGTTATTCTGTGTAGTTCTGTTTAAAATGTTTCTAAATAAGTTTTTAAATTATTTTAAAACTTGATGTGGAGTCAGAAAAGGTCACAAGTCAATCCTTTGGTCTATTTTCTGACATGTTAAATAGGCACACAAACACATGCCCAACCTATTCCACTAGGTTGTTATAAGTAAAAGTGTTTTTGCTAATCATCAAGTGGTAGAATACACTTGTAATTCAGTCTGAGCCAATTAGCTCAGTTTGTTAGAGTAGCATTCTGATTAGGGTAAAGTTAAGGGTTAGATTATCATGCAGACCTTTACTCTGTTTCAAGGGCAACACTACACTCCTACTTCCCAGAAAGCAATAGAGCTATACTGCAAATGCACATACTATCAGTTACAAAGGAGCTAGGCAAGTCTATGTCATGTCTCAATCCATATCCAACACAAGAACTACCGAGCAGATAATGTAAAGAATTTGGTGGGTGGGCAAGTAAACAGTATTTGTCTGAGGAAACTTGCACACCCAGCACACATACATCACTCTTTTGTTTGGGATGTGTAGATGTGGTTCCTGTGGAGGGCAGGGCGTTTTGTTTTTTCTTTCCTGGCACTTTTATTGGCAAAGTGAGACTTTGAAAACATGAAATCTTATCTTAAAGTGCCATGGGTAATCTTCTGAGTTGGTTTCAAATTGCTTTATTCCAAAGTGTTCCTAGAAGACGTGGTGAGTATCAGGAAGCGTTTTTGTTAATGTAGAGCAAAACCATCAGCAGTTAAAATTTAACCTAAAAATATTTTTAAAAAATGAATCAAACATCTATCCAACAGATTAAACAGTTTTAAGTACAGAAGTAAAATGCTTAAATCTGGGATAATAAAGGCACTTTCCATCTTCACAATATTCTCTAACAGCTGGCCTGAATAATGCTCTGTTCCCATGAGGCTAAATGCAAGTGTAACCTTAGAAATGGTCGGTCTATATTCTGAAATTTCTTTGCAAACATCCAAACAAGACTAGCTTATAAGGTCTTCTTGACCTTTCTCCACCAAGTTTGAAATGTATTTGGAATCCCCCATCTTGATTTTTATTTCTCTTCTTTCCCCAAGAACGAGTAAATAAAATTCTTCACTTTGTCTGAATTATAGGAATATGGAAGTAAAGCTATAGGAATATGGAAGTAAAGCTTTAACTAAAGTTTAACTAAGCATTTAACTAAAGTTAAAATTCTTGGTCCTATTTTCAAACAGAAAATAAAGTTTGCAGTCTAGCAACTCAAAAAAAAAGTATCAAATCAGAGGATCCTAAAGCAGGGTCCAAAGTACTTTCATTAGAGCTAATAGCCTCACATTTATTAGAACTCAAAACTCTTAGATTAAAAGTCAGTATGAAGTAGTACATTTTTTTATAATCTTAAAGAGATTAAAAAGTCTTAAAATACTGATCCTCTTGGTAGCGTACAGAATTAAACCAAAGAACCAGAAACTCAACAATATCAAATTTCAATTATATATCCCCAGTCCTGAAGAAACTACTGATTAATCTCACTTTCTTCCACTAATGAGACAGTCTGCAATACCGTAAGAACACGAAAATTGTTATTCAGTGAAAACATTTTGTATGTAGATACTCTGGTACCAACTGCTTCCAGGCAGACAGATGTAAAAACAGTGTAATATTTATAGCAAAGTCTGGTGAGCTTTTGCCTGCAAATCATTGACCAAAAATGGTAATAATGTGTGCAAAGGTTCTACTTGACAAAATGTTCTACTTGATCGTCCGGTTGAGAAAATGTTTTACAGAAAACTGGAATTACAGCGCAGAGGGAAAAATATGTAAATTAAGCAAAGTATCCATCACCTAGCATATACTGAGCATGTTTACTTTTTAGAGACTTGGATAATTTAACAGACTTTTAAAAAAAGTTTTTTCATTTGTTTTTATTGGCATCCCAGCTTCGTGCCCACACCTTGCATGCTAAGTTCTGGCACAGCCAAACTGTTTACAGGTAAAAGAAAATTTCTAATTACACATGAGACATCGAGGAGGCGAGGGTTAAAAGAGACACTGCCAAGCTTGACAAGCACGACGACGACGAGAGTGCTGCTGGAAGCTGATTGCCAGATACGACAAACAAAGCGGCTGCAAGGCCACCCGTTCTTAATCATGCCAGGGTCATGCTCGTAGTGATCATTTCGCCCTCTAGGGTTGTTCAATAAAGGCCTTATTTTCCTCATTGAGATGGACAGACCTCACGGGCGAAACACGCAGGACTCACTGGCCGTCTGTGCCGGGCTTTGGGGAAACGAGCCCCAACAAGGCCCAAGCAGGGTTTTGACGCCCTGCACCCCATCGATTTCACCGAGGGGAGGAGGGGCTCAAACCCATCTTATAGTACGAAGGCAGGGGCAGAAGGAACCACTGAGGCGACGATCTGGGGCGACAGTCAAGCAGCAGTTGCGACCGACGCAGCGGCTTGGGAGCCGCCCCAAAACGAGAGTCTCAGCGGGTCCACGAGCGGCAGACGCCGGAAACCCTCCCCTGTCGGGAGACAGCACCGGGGGCCGGGTCCCTCCTGGGCGGGGAGATGGCGCTCGCCCCTCGGAGACCCCCCCGCAGCGCCCCAGAACCCCGCTGCCCCAGCGGCGTCGGCTCCCGCCTCGCCCTCTCTCCCACTCACCATCTTCGCCGCGGCAGTAGCAAGGACGCGGGCGAGGGAGTCGGCGGATGCCGAGTCTGCTGAACGTCCTCCTCAGGATAGCTGGACAGAGCGACAGAACAAGGAGGCAACGAGGAGAGCGAGCCTGCTAAGGGACGGGCGCGCGGACGCGCGCCTCGGGCCCAAACACGGCTATGCGCACGTCACGCGCCGTCCGCCGTTGCTCCGCAACGGATTGGGCTAGTAACGCCCCTCCCAGGCGGCTCTCTGAGGCACCCGCGGGCGGAGCGACTTCCTCACCTTCTAGGGACTGGAATACCCTCTCACCAGTTCGGGTCTAATGGGAGTGAGGAGTGGGTCCTCGCTGTCTTGTGCAAGGGTAGAGGAAGCGGAGTTTGGACTGGCACCTGCGGGCTAGGGGAAGGCAAAAGATGACGCTGAGTGGGTGACCCAGCTACCCCCTAAGAGGCGGGGCCACGTGGCGCCCCTCCCACTGCGAAGCCGTTAGCCTTACAAGGAAGTAGCTACCTGTCCAGGTGTGCGTCGCCGCTAAGGGGCGGGGTCTGGAGGGGTTGAGTGGGAGTGGGAGGGGAAGAGAGGGAGAGGTAGGGGAGAGACGGTGGGAGGGGCCGCGGCCTGGGAGTTGAGATGAGGACCTGCGAGAGCACAGGCAGTAGCTGATGGGGACGCAATCCCACATTTTTTTACCTACTTTGGTGTGATTCCCGCCAACCTCCCCTGATTGGCCCAGCCGGGCAAATCTGGCCTTTGCGTGAGGGGAAAAATCTGCACATTTTTTCTCCTTCCCGAGGCGACTGAGGCCGTACTGAGTGCTCTGAGTCACCGCTAATTTCAGGTCTGGGAAAAACACGGAGTGATTTATTTATCTTCGGGAACAGCCCAAGGAAGAAGGCTCAGCCGTCCGCAGGGGTGTGGCTGGGAAACGGCCCACTGGTCTTGAGAGGATGGCGCCAGCCCCGCTGCTCCGTTCTTTGGGTTTTAAATTTGGGATTGTGTTTTTTTACTGAGCGGTTGCATCAGAAACACAGTTTTCAGAGGACCAGAAAGAATCCTAACGTTTTTCCTGAGCGCGTTCTTGTGGGTATAAAGGGAATAAAAAGAATTCACAACTGGGGTGATTTATTTTATTGTATTTTGGTTTTTTTAGTTGTATTTTTCCATTACCGTTTATCCCCCTTATATCTTCACTTTCAACCCGGACCCTGCAATCACCACACTGTTGTACAAACAGGAGTTTTTTTCTTCCTTTTCCTTTTTTACTGGGTCCCTCCAACCCCCAACCCCCACTCCCACCCCCAGAGCTGTCAGCCTGCTCTGTATCTATGAGTGTATCTATATTTTGCTTGTTAGTTCAGTTCGTTCATTAGCTTACACATAATGGGTGAAATCATATGGTATTTGTCTTTCTCTTACTGGTTTATTTCACTTAGCATAATGTTCTCCAGGTCCATCTACGCAGATTTTCTTCCTTTTTACCGCGAGTAGAATTCCATTCTATAAATGCACCATAGTTGTTTTTTTCCACACATCTATTGATGGCCACTTGGGCTGCTTTCAAATCTTGGCTATTGGAAACAATGCTGCAATGAACATAGGGGTGCATATATTCTTTTTCTTTTAATTGCTCAAATACATCTGTCTCCATTTGCCTGCCACAACTTTCCCCTACCCCAGCCACCCCCACCTCCCACACATCCCCGTGCATATATTCTTTTGAATCAGTGTTTCAGGTTTGTTTAGATAAATTCCCAGAAGCGGAATCACTGGGTCATGAGGCAGATCCATTTTTAATTTTTTGAGGTAAATCCGTACTGCATTCCACAGTGGCTGCACTAGTCTGCATTCTCAGGAACAGTACACAAGGATTCCCTTTTCTCCACATCGTCACGAACACTTGTTGATTTATTGATGATAGACATTCTGAGAGGTGTGAGGTGATATCTCATTGTGGTTTTAATTTGCATTTCTCTGATGATTAGTGATGATGGGCATCTTTTCATATGCCTATTGGCCATCTGTATGCCCTCTTTGGAGAAGTGTCTATTCAGGTCCTTTGCCAATTTTTTTAATTGGATTTTTTATTTTGGTGTTGGGTTTAAAGTTTTTTTATAAATTTTGGAAATTAACCCCTTATCAGTTGTATCGGCAAATATATTCTCTTCAGTGGGTTGTCCTTTCATTTTGTTGATGATTTCCTTTGCTGTGCAAAAACTTTTTAGTTTGATGTGGTCCAATTTTGTTTATTCCTTTGTGTCCCTTGCCTGAGGAGATATCAGAAAAATTATTGTTATGAACAATGTCTGAGATTTTACTGCATACATTTTCTTAGGATTTTTATGGCTTTAAGTCTAATATTTAAGGCTTTAATCCATTTTGAGCTTATTCTTGTGGGTTGTGTAAAAAGGTAGTTGTTTCTTTTGTTTTCAGGTATCTGTCCCATTTTTCCAACACCATTTATTGACTAAACTTTCTCTAGCTTATTGTTTGTTTTGCTTCCTTTGTCAAATATTAATTAACTATAAAGACATGGGTTTATTTCTGGCTCTCTATTCCATTGACCTATATGTCTGTTTTTATGCCAGTACCAGGCTATTTTGATTACTCTGGCCATGCAATGTAGTTTAATATTAGGTAGTGTGATTCCTCCAACTTTGTTCTACATTCTCAAGATCACTCCCTGATCTTTTGTGGTTCCAAATAAATTTTTGGAATATTTGTTCTAGTTCTGTGAAATACGTCATTGGTGTCTTAATAGTAACTGTGTTGAATCTGTAGATTGCTTTGGGTAATATGGACATTTTAATAATGTTAACTCTTCCTATCTATGGACAGGGTACATACTTTCAATTATTTGTATCTTCAATTTCTTTGTTCAGTGTCTTACAATTTTCCAAGTACAGGTCTTAACATTCTTGGTTAAATTTATTCCTAGGTATTTTATTATTTTTGAAGCAACTGTGAAAGGGATTGTTTTCTTAATTTCACTTTCTGATAGTTCATTATTGGAATATAAAAATGCAGCTTTACGGATATTAATTTTGTATCCTGGTACTTTACTGAATTCATTTATCAGTTCTAATAGTTCTTTGGTAGAATCTTTAGGGTTCTCTATATACCATATCATGTCATCTGCATATAATGAGTTTTACTTCCCCTTTTCTATTTGGATGTCTTTTGTTTCTTCTTGTCTGATTGCAATGGCTAGGACTTCCAGAACTATGTTGAATAAGAAGGGCAAAGGCGGACATCCCTGTCTTGTTCCTGATCTTAAGGAGAACACTTGTAGTTTTTACTCATTGAGTATGATGTTGCCTGTGTGTTTGTCATACATAGCTTTTTTTTAAAAAAAGGTTTTATTTATTTATTTTTAGACTGAGAGGAAGGGAGGGAGAAAGGGGGACAGAAACATCAATGTGTGGTTGCCTCTCATGTGTACCCTACTGGGGACCTGGCCTGCAATCTAGGCACATGCTCTGACTGGAAATCAAACCAGAGAGCCTTTGGTTTGCAGACTGGCGCTCAATCCACTGAGCCACACCAGCCAGGGCCATATGTCGCTTTTATTATGTTGATGTATTATCCCTCTATTACTGCTTTACTGAGCATTTTAATCAAAAATTGGTGCTGGATTTTATCAAATGCTTTTTTTGGCATCTATTGATATGATCGTGTGGTTTTTATCATTTATTTTGTTTATGTGGTGTAGCATGTGTATTGATTTGCAGATATTGAAGCAACCTTGCATCCCTAAATAAATCCCAGTTAATCATGGTATCTGATCTTTTTTGATGTATTGCTATATTTGGTTTGCTAATATTTTGTTGAGGATTTTAGCATCTGTGTTCATCAGGGATATTGGCCTATAATTTTATTTCTTTGTAGTGTCTTTATCTAGTTTTGGAATTAGGATAATGCTGGCCTTGTAAAATGAGCTTGGGAGCCCTTGAATTTTTTGGAATAGTTTGAGAAGGAGAAATGTTAGATCTCCTAGGGATGTTCGATAAAATTCACCTGTAAAGCCATCCAGTCCAGGGCTTTTGTTTGTCAGATGTCTTTTGATTACTGTTTCAATTTCACTAGTTGTAATCTGTCTATTCAAATTCTGTGATTCTTCCTGACTCTGTTTTGCAAGATTGTTTGTTTCTAGGGATTTAACCATTTCTTCCAGATCATCCAATTTGTTGTTGTATAGTTCATAATATTTTATTACAATCCATTGTCTTTCTTTGGTGTCAGTTGTTACTTCTCCTTTTTTATTTTTGATTGTATTTATTTGGACCCACTTTTTTTTTTTTTTTTTTTTTTTTTTTAATTGATGAGCCTGGTTAAAGATTTGTCAGTCTTGTTCAATCTCTGTGAAGAACCAGCTTTTGGTTTCATTGATCTTTTTTATTGTTTTTTTGAGACTCCATTTCACTTATTTCTGCTCTGATCTTTATTATTTCCTTCCTTCTACTATATTTGAGCTTTGTTTTTTGGGTTTTTTTCTTCCTTTAAGTATAAAGTTAAATTGTTTATTTGAGCCTTTTCTTTATTTCCTGAGGTAGGCTTGTAAAGCTATGAATTTCCCTCTTATGACTGCTTTTGCTGTGTCCCATAAAATTCAGGTTGCTGTGTTCACATTTTCATATATTTCAAGGTAACTGTTGATTTCTTCTTTGATCTCATTGTTAACCCATTCATTGTTTTGTAACATGTTATTTGGTTTCCATGTCTTTGTGTGCATTTTCAGTTTTCTTCTTGTGATTGATTTCTAGTTTCATAGTGTTGTGGTCAGAGAAGATGCTTGATGTTATTTCAATCTTCTTAAATTTATTGAGACTTGTTTTGTGTCCTAAGATGTGGTGTATCCTAGAAAACATTCCTTGTGTACTCGGAAAGTATTTGTAGTCCACTGCTTTGGGGTGAAATGCTCTGTAGATATCAATTAAATCCTTTTGATATAGTTCATCATTTAAGGCTACTGTCTCCTTGTTGATTTTCTGTCTGGAACATCTATCCATTGATGTCAGTGGGGTTTACAATCCCCTACCATGACTATATTTCTGTCATATCTCCCTTTTTGCTCATCAAGTTTTGCTTTACATATTCAGGTGCTCCTCTGTTGGGTGCATAAATGTTTACTAGGATTATATCCTCTTTTGGACTGTTCCCTTTATCATTATGTAGTATCCTTTTTTGTCTCTTACTATAGCCTTGGTTTTAAAGTCTATTTTGTCAGATATAACTATTGCTACCCCAGACTTTTTCCTTTACATTTGCATTAAATATCTTTTTCCATCC